AAAGAGAAACGTTGACAGAAAGAGCCAGAAGCTTACGTGTACAATCAGACTTACCAAAGCAGTTCTGGGCAGAAGCAGTCAACACAGCAGCTTACTTGATCAACTGAGGTCCATCAGTACCATTGGAGCACAAAATACTAGAAGAGGTATGGAGTGGAAAAGAAGTAAAACTCTCACACCTAAGAGTTTTCGGTTGTGTAGCATATGTGCATATAAGTGCTCATGGCAGGAATAACCTTGATCCCAAATCTAAGAAATGCATTTTCATCGGCTATGGCGGTGATGAGTTTGGACACCGCCTCTGGGATAAAGAAAACAAGAAAGTGATCCGCAGCAGAGATGTGGTCTTCAATGAAAGAATTATGTACAAGAACAGACATAACACAGTTGCCAGCGACTCAGAGCAGACTCAGAGCAGAGCTGGGCCCAAGTGTTTGTAGAGTGTGGACGATTATCTCAGAAAGTCTGGCCGCCGAATGAGTTAGTTAAAATACTTCAATCAGAGGAATCAACTGACACCCCACAAGCTTTCTCCTCCAAAAGCTTTAAAGAGGTCTGAATGTTCCTCAAAGCCTAATAGAAAATATATGAATTATTTGTTTATTAACAGATGGCAGGAGAACCCGAATGCTTTTGAGGTAAGCATGTCAAAACGGTAGAGATGCTTTTAGCAAGTGGGCAAGGCTTGCGCATGAAAGACCCCGAAATGACAGTCTTTAATCTCCAATCAAACAATGGGGAACTAGCTGAGTTTACCCGTAAGGAAAGAAGGGCGTTACCCGTAGGAAAGAAGGCACTTCACAACAAATGGGTGTATCGAGTGAAAGAGGAACATGATGGTTCCAAGAGATACAAAGCTCGACTAGTAGTCAAATGGGTTCCAACAGAAGGAAGGAGTTGACTACACCGACATATTTGCACCAGTTGTAAAACTCAATACAATCAGGTCTGTGTTGAGTATTGTTGCCGGTAAAGGGCTCTACCTTGGGCAGTTGGACGTAAAGACGACGTTTCTTCACGGAGACTTGGATAAGGAGATATACATGTACCAGCCAGAAGGATTCTCAGAAAAAGGAAAAGAGAATATGGTGTGCAAATATGGTGTGCAAACTCAAGAAGAGCTTGTATGGACTGAAATAAGCTCCAAGACAGTGGTACAAAAAGTTCGACAATTTCATGCACAATGAAGGCTTCCAGAAGTGCAATGCCGACCACTGTTGCTACTTCAAAAGGTTTCAGACTAATTATATCATTCTGTTACTTTATGTTGATGATATGTTAGTAGCAGTACCAGATATAAATGAAATCAAAAACTTGAACAAGCAATTGTCCAAAGAATTTGACATGAAGGACTTGGGTCCAACGAAAAAGATTCTTGGAATGCAAATCACGAGAGATAAGCAAAAACAGGTGTTGCAGTTATCTCAGGCAGAGTACATCAATTGTGTATTGCAAAGATTCAACATGAACGAAGCTAAGCCGGTCAGCACACCCTTGGCTAGCCATTTTCGCCTATCCAAGGACCAGTCCCCTCAGACGGCGAAGAAGAGAGAAAAAAGACCATGCGCCAAAATTCCTTATGCTTCACCTAGAAACGTTTGATGTATTGCGATGGGTCTGAACCATAACCAGGATATTGGCCATGCAGTGGGATTGTTAAGCAGGTATATGTCAAATCCAGGGAAAGGCTCATTGGGAAAGACAGGTAAAGTGGATTTTGAAGGTATCTACGAGGCACTATTGAGAAGTGTTTTGTACTTTTGGTAAAGCGAGAACTAAAAGACAAAGGATTAGAACTAAAAGTACAAGGTTATGTAGATGCAGACTATGGAGGCGACATTGATCACCGAAGAAGCACCACAGGTTATATTTTCACTGTTGGTACTACAGTTGTTTGTTGGATGTCACAGGTACAGAAGATTGTAGCTCTATCCACCACAGAAGCTGAATATGTCGCAGTGATAGAAGCCAGTAAAGAGATGATATGGCTTTAAGGTTTGTTAACAGAGTTGGGATTCAAGCAGGAAAAGAATGTTTTGTATAGTGATAGTCAGAGTGCAATACATTTGGCAAAGAATTCAGCATTCCATTCTAGAACAAAGCACATTGGTCTTCGATATCATCATCAGGTCTCTGCTTGAGAATGATGTGGATGTGCTAAAGTTAGAGAGATTCAAGGAAACAAGAATCCAGCTGACATCGTTAACAAAGTGGTGACCATGACAAAAATGAAGTTGTGCTCGACTTCATGTTGGCCTGCTAGGAATAAACAGACCAGAGAAGATTGTCGCAGAATTAATGTTGGCGATACTATGACATTTAATCTAATAAAGCTCGACTTCAGTTGGCCTGCTAGAATAAACAGACCAGAGAAGATTGTCGCAGAATTAATGTGGCGATACTATGACATTAATCTAATAAATCAAGACTTACTCTGCATATCCAGAATATAAGATATGGTTTTGATCTCCACATTAATTATTTTCATCTAATGAAGTTAAGCTGAAATTTTATCAATAGCATGTAATATTTTGGACTATGTACTTACACAACACCCAAAGATAAATTGTTTAAAGTTTTCAACTCCACATGAGAATTAATATGTAAAGTTGTAAACAACAATATTGGTAATAGAATGTACTTTCTCAAGTTTAAAGAAGATATAAATGAGATTAAATTCAAAAATTATAAAGTCAATATAAAAAAATATTTGAAAAAATATTAAAATTTCAAAGGTCTAATTATCTTTATATTTATTGAAAAAAATATTTTAAAAAATATATCCAATCAAATCCTAGAAAAATTAAATAAAATTCCATAAATTTCAAAAATAAAAAAATAAAATATTGAATAAAAAGAGATCTATTAAAATTTCTGTTTATTTCATTTTTAATATAGAAAAGCTGAAAGTAAAAATGATAGCAAATTCAAACATTTATAGCCTATTTTTCAAAAAGATTTCATTAGACTAAAAAAATAAATAAATAACTATCTTTCTTGATATTCGTCAAATACTATAATTTTATACTTCCATTACTTTTGTTAAATTTGAAAAATTTTAAAATACAATAATATGTAAACTATTAAAATAAGTGTACACCATCCTCTCCAAAAAAATCAAAGACAGATAATATATTTAACAAGATTTATTTTAATTTCATGTAATTAACTAATGGAGTCTAATAATAGTGTTTGCTCATATTTTTAAAAATTCAAAACATAATAAATTAAAAGAATTTAAGTTTAATTTTCAATAATTGAATTAAGATTTTCCATTTACCTCATAAAAAACAATATAACATGAGAACATATGAGTAAGAATAATCAAAAACTATTAATTATAAAAACCATTGGACAATAATATTACAATATCAAATAGAGAATATATATACATATAAATATTTTTTCAAATTAAATGCATAAAAGTAAACTAAAAGAATATTTAAAATAATAAATGAAATCTATTTTCTTCGATTAAAAGGCATTAAAAATATAACTAAAAAGGATATTTTAAAAGGATAAATATATTTATTTTTTTCCAATTAAAATACATAAAAAATTAATTAAAATGATATATTAGGAATTCCAAATTAAACTAAGGCTAATGTCGGAAAGTCTATAATTCCCTCCTCTATTTGCACATTTATGTAAATTATAAATTATAGATTATAGATCATAAATTTATTTTATTATCTATTAAGTTAAAGAGAGCAAAATAATATATAATAAATACAGGAAGTATTTAATATATATTTAACTCTAACATTTAATTTAAATTCTAAATTGAATAAAATAAAAAATATATGTAGTAAATAAAAGAATTTTTAATTTTTATGTATAACCTTATTATGAAACATTAAAGTAATTAAAAATAAAATATATGTATTAATATATAATTAACGTTAATTATCTATTAAGCATAATATTTAAAATAAAATTAAGGTTGTTTTAAAATATTTTAAATTTTATTAAGAGTCGATAAACACCTTAGCATAATCCTAGAACCCCAAGATCACTCGATATAACAGAATAGAGATTTAGGCTTGATATGAGGAGATAATGCTCGGATATCTCCTCCCCTTTTTTCATTTAACTACCAAGCACCCATGACTGGTATAAAAGGATAAACCCGATCCCTAAAAATGGTTAATGTAACAGACTGATTTTTCTTTTAGTGTCGGTAATAGTGATTTACCAGTCTGTGAATAGTACCATCGGTCCGGGACTTGGTATTATTTTAGTCCGGGGTATTATTTTAGTCCGGAAAAAATTACTACACTTTAGTTAAATATTTTTTTTACTATTTTTGAGGCATGTTTGCATGATAGGGGGTTTTAGAAATTATTTTAATGAATTATTTTTGGAGAGGAGTTTATGTATTAAATGCATAATATTTTAGTGTGGTATATTAAGAAAATAAATGAGGAATTATTTTTAGTGAGTTAATTAATAATTGTGGAGTTAAATAGAAGTAGAAGAGAATTATTTGAGGAATATTATAGCTATTTAGAGCCATTGGATGAGATTACTTAGGACTTGATCTTAGCCACACATTTTGCATGATTTTAGGAAGTCAAATTTGACTTTGGCAATTAAAGTAAACACCACAACATTTTTGTCTTTCTTCTCTTCTCTTCTCTACGCCATTTCCATCTTCTTCCTTCTTCTTTCATTTTCTTACCTCCAAATTTACCACCAAACTACCTAATTAAACCATAGATTTGTATTTAATTCTTAAGAATTAAGAAGTAGAAGTTGAGTTTGGTGATTAAAAGCAAAGAGAAGTGAAGTTACCATTGAAGCAAGTAAGTTGTGGTTTTTCAAGTAACGTTGTGGTTTTTTGAGTTTTGTGGAATTGTTAAGTAGAATTCATGGTTTTAGACATTGTATTGATGCATTAAATCATGCTCCAAACTATTTTCTTTGTCAAAAAGTTTTGCTTGTAATGTTGATTTTCATGCTTTGAAGAGGTTGTGAGAAACCATCCTGAAAGGGAAAGAAAAGCCAAGGAGTAAGGCTTTCCAAGCTTATTTTCAAGCTTGTTAATAAGGTCTATTGCAATTCATAATTTCACTTGTTTAAGTTGTTTTACTATGTTTAGGGTTTTGAATATATTTTGGAACTTTGTCATGTTTTGTTGAAAATTTGCTGAAATTTTAATGCTGAGATGTGTTCTTGCCGTGGATTGGAACTCATTTTACCCCTTATACTTCCCATTTGTTCTTCTATGACTTCTTCATGAAAGTTGTAGCTCTATTTTCTTAGCTTTCCAAAACATATTCTTATGTCTAATTTCCAATACTTGTAGGCTCAAACTTTATGATTGATAATACCAAAACTGGTTCTGTTATGATGTCTTACCTTTATATCCGAGAATTATTGTCCATTTTGACACTCAAAAATGGTCAAAATAAAGTCTTATTATGTTCTTCATAAAAGTTATAGCTTTACTTCTTATCTTTCCAACCCATACTCTTGTGTCCAAATTGGAGATACATATCTCACCTTATGGCTGAAAAACCCAAACTGACTCTGTTGTGTCAGGCCACATGCATTAGTAAATTGAGTGCCCATTTTGACCACTATAATGATAAGATTAGATTTTGAGTTCTTCATAAAAGTTGTTGCCCTGTATCTTGCAAATTCTCTCGTTCTGGATTGGTTTCATTTGAGTGTTTGGTGAAGTAGGAATTCAAGAAACATTGGACTTGGTTCTGCTGAATCAGGTCTGATCTGTTTCAGGTTCCTGAATCAGGTCTGATCTGTTGGTCTGTGTTCTGAGCTTTTGTTTGTTATCTTACTCTGTGATCTGGGCTGTGGTCCCTTCTGAACATTTGTAGCCATTTGTCTTAGATTTCTAATGAATCTGATTTCATTCAATTTGAAGACCCATAACTCAAATTATGTGTTAAAAATCCAGCAGAGGTCAAGTTTTGGAAATGCTGAAAAGTTCTTCATTTATGTACTTTTATACTATATTAAGTATATATACATTTATAGTGTTTTGAGTAAAACTTTTGAACTGATGAGTACTAAATGAAGAGGTTTTGTTGATTAAGAATTATTGCTTTTTTGTGAAAGAAATGGATTTTTGATTTTGGGCCTCTACTATGCATGATTTGAGACGTGGTATGATGAGTATGGGATTTTGTTATTGTGGAGCTATGAATCATTATGCTAGGGTTATCAGCCCTTATAAATAGGTGACGCGGGCTTATTTGTGGATGGTGGTGCTTTCATAGGCCACGGTGGTGCTTTCATAGGCCACGGATTGTTGTGATGGTGTGGTGCTTTCATAAGGGCCACGGTGCGTGCTTTATAGGCCACCGAGTATGTGATGGGGCGGTGGCGTTAATAATAGGCCACGATCATATCTGCTTATGTTCACTTCTTGCATGGTACGAGCCTCAATAAATTTATTACTCTTGCATTTCTTCAAGATTGACGGAAAATTTAGAAATAAATTTATGTATTAAGCAGTTAACAAAATACAAAGTTCTATATGCATATATGCATATCTTTTACCATATTTATTTATTTATTACTCTTGCATTTCTTCAAGATTGCTGCATTTATTAGTGATTAGTTCATTTCTTAAATATTGTGCTTATAAGGATTTTTTTCTTTTTTTATCACGCGCAGGTTAGGAGCGGAGGGTGTTCTTCAAGACCAGAGGACAAGCATCAGAGTAGAGATCACATTTTGGGTAGGATATTTTGTTAAATGGTGATTTTTGGCATGTATATAAAGATTGTATTATGAAGGTTGTATATAATAAGTTTATAATATATTAAGAGTTATGATTATTGAAGGAAATAACATCTTATTATATTTTTGGTGTATGATGATTATATATTCCTTGAAAAGAACGTGTTTAGACTATGATGCGTATGTTGATGGATATTTAGAAGTGCTTGTGGTATGTTATGTTGAATTGGAGTTTTGGGGTTTGGAGAAAATTGGAAGGAGAAAATTGGAAGTGTGTATATTTCTTTTGTGTGGCAAGTTAATTTTTAGGGGGAAAACTCTTGCCGAAATTTTCGTAGGAATTTCCTTAAAATATTTTATTTTCGTTAACAAAAAAAAAAAAAAACAAAAACAAAAATGTTAATTACTTGCCTCTTATGAAAATTTAACCACTTCTAATGTGATCTAGTTTTAATAAGTGACATTAAGACGGTGGCTCCGCACCGATTGTGGCATCCGCCGTCTGGTTCTCCAGGATTGGCCGAGTGGTGTTTACATTTTTGTGGTATCAGAGCCATTAGGTTTTTAGACGATTCTAGGATATATTATTTGGTTTATTGAGGTTTTATCACGATTTTGGAGTCATGATATAGTGATTTATTTTAAGTTAAATTACATTGCCATATTAGTCTGTTTGGGAATTTCTCTCTATGCGAACCGCTGGTCTTTAGTAGGTATTAGTGGATGTCTCAGCGCCTACCGGGAATGAGGAGGTTGGACAGTTATGTCCCTCCAGGAGGGTGCTATGTTTAGAGCGTAGGGCCAGCCGGTGGTAATGCCTGGTGCGGATTTTGGCGTTTCGAATGTTAGAGCGCGCCTCAGCTGTTCGGGCCAGGCTACTGCGGGGTCCCTGCTGGGGGCCCCTAATCAGGGTGATTTTTTGGTCATTATAGCAGCTTGGTAGCCTGCATTGAGGCAGGCTGCGGGAAGCTGTTCCCCAGGCTCCAGTCGCACTAGCCCCTTGTTCCAGTTCCATTTACCCCGTAGAGAGACTGAGGAAGTTATTCGTGATTGAGCGATTTTATGGGTCGGAGAGATTGATGATTCCTTCGTGTAAGCAGAAATTTTTTGGCCTCCAACTACAGAGAGGGGTTTTGTACCAGATGTAGTGTTACTCCTGCAGATAGATTGATTTGGCTGTTTCCTTTACTAAAGGAAGAGGCTTACCTATGGTGGGAGGGTCTATGGTGAAGACAGCGAGAGTTGAGGATCGTTACTTTGGGATTTTCTTTCTTCTCTTGGCTTTTCGGAGAAATATGTAGGGGAGTTATACACGGTATCAGAGGATAGCAGAGTTCTGAGCTTAGGCAGGGGACGGATGACTGTTCTCCGGTATGAGCGGAGTTTCTGCGGTTTGAGTAGGTTATTGCTTCAAGTTGGTCCCTACTGAGGCAGATCGGTGTAAGCGTTTCGAAAGGGGTTACTGGATGAGTATTAGGATGCACTTGACATCCCAGCCCCACAAGCCCCACACTACATTAGCTGGTTTGGTGAAGGCTGCTACAGAGCTTGAGCTTATTCAGAACGAGAGACAGGCCAGAGGTTAGAGGATCCAGCAGAGCTGTCAGTATAAGAGATTTCAGAGTGCTACGTCTGGACAGACTTCAGGGATCCATTCTAGTAGCAAAAGATTTAGAGGCGAACCGCAGATAGGGGTCAGACCGAGCCAGACAGTTGGTCGGGATATATTTCCGAGATCAGCTCCTCCGGTTTCATCTGTTGCTAGTGGTGGAGGTGCTGCATGGTCAGGTCTACCAATTTGCAGTCAGTGTGGCAGGTGGCAAGAGACATGTTGGGGTGTGTTGGAGAGCCAAACATGCTCCAAAAATGGTAAATAAAATATTAACTATACATAGTAATTTTTTCGGACTAAAATAATACCAAGTCCAGGACTGATGGTACTATTCACGGACCGGTAAATCACTATTACCGACACTAAAAGAAAATCAGACTGTTACACACGCCTTTGGGAGAGACCCGTGTCTGAGACTGTGGAGAGACTAGAGGCTAGAGCACAGGCGAGAGCTTATGCCATTAGGACCAAGGAGCAGCGGGATGCGCCGGACGTCATAGCAGGTACCTTCTCTATCTTTGACACTTTTGTACTTGATTTGATTGATCCGGGCTCCACGCATTCATACATATGCATACATGTGGGTAGACTGGGTAGTATGCATACTGAGACATTAGAGCACAACGTTGAGGTTACTAGCCCTTTGGGTCAGAGTATAGTAGTTGATCGGGTGTATAGAGATTGCCCTGTAGTCATTCATTAGTCATTCATGGGTATGTATTTCCGGGTGATTTGATAGAGTTGCCTTTTCGGGAGTATGATGTTACATTGGGTATGGATTGGTTGTCTAGCCATGGGGTCATTGTTGATTTTAAACGTAAGAGGATTACGCTTCAGACTCCGTCTGAAGAGGAGATTGTAGTTGTGGGGGAGAGGTCGGATTACCTCTCTAACGTTATTTCTGCTTCTACTTTCTACTGCGAGAAGACTGATCCAGCATGGTTGTAAGGCGTACTTAGCCTGTGTACTTGCTCTAGAGTCATAGTCTCCTAGTGTCCATGATATAACCACAGTATGTGATTTTCCGGATGTGTTTCCAGAGGAGTTGCCTGGTTTACCTCCTGAGAGAGAGGTTGAGTTTGGTATTGAGGTTATGCCTGGCCTAGTACTGCACCGATATCCATTGCTCCGTATCGGATGGCGCCTGCTGAATTGAAAGAGTTAAAGATACAGATTCAGGAGATTCAGGAGTTGCTTGATAAGGGTTTTATTCGTCCTAGTGTATCTCCCATGGGGTGCTTCCAGTATGTTTTGTAAAAGAAGAAGGATGGCTTACTTAGATTGTGTATGAATTACAGACAACTAACAAAGTTACTGTGAAGAATCGATATCCATTGCCTCGGATAGATGATTTGTTTTGATCAGTTGAGAGGGGCTTGTGTATTCTCGAAGAATAGATCTGAGATCAGTTATCATCAGCCTAAAAGGGTGAAGGGATTCAGATGTACCTAAGACTGCTTTCAGGACAACCGCTAAACGGTCACTATGAGTTTTTATGCAGGCCATTTGGTTGACTAATGCCCAGCAGTGTTTTATGGACCTGAATGAACCGGATCTTCCATCCTTATTTGGATAATTCGTGGTGGTTTTTATTGATGATATTTGGTGTACTTCCGACCTACAGAGGACATGATCATCAACCTACGAACAGTTCCCTGCAAGACTTTGAGAACCGACAGTTGTATGCCAGCTAGTAGTTGCTGAATTTTGGTTGACTGAGATTGCTTTTCTTAGGGCAATGTTTTGTTTTCTGCAGAGGTAATCGGGTGGACCCCGAAGAAGATTGAGGCAAGTGCTTGGATTGGAAGTCCACCTACGAATGTCACAGAAATGCGCAGTTTCTCTTAGTTTGGCTGGATATTAGGAAGGTTTGTCAGGGGGTTTTCTCTTATTGCAGCCCCTTTGACTAAGACTTCTCCATAAGGAGTCCGTTTTGAGTGGACTGATAGATGCCAGAGTAGCTTTGATGAAGCTTAAGGCGATGCTTACTGAGGGCTCCAGTTTGACATCAGCCAGCTCCAGGCAAGACCAAATATGATGTTATAGTGATGCTTCGGCATAATGGTTTGGGTTGTGTGCTTATGCAGGAGGGCAAGGTGATGCTTATGCTTCCCGGCAGCTGAAACCACATGAGAAGAAAACTACCTAACCCATGATTTGGAGTTAGCAGCTATTGTGTTTGCCTTGAAGATTTGAGACATTACTTATATGGTGAGAAATGCCACTGTATACGGATCATAAGAGCCTTAAGTATTTGCTTACCAAAAGAGGGCTTAACCTGAGGCAGCGCAGATGGTTAGAGCTACTTAAGGACTATAGTTCACTATTGATTACCACCCGGGTAGAGCTAATGTAGTGGCAGAATGCACTCAGTAGAAAGGCATTAGTTGCTCTTCGTGCTATGAAAATGCCACTTTACTGTGACTAGAGATGGTGCTGCTTGTAGCAGAGCTTAAGGTGAAAAAACTAGCCTACTGCAGCAGATTAGAGATGCACAGCAGGGTGATGAGACTATTGCCTTGTGGAAAGGCCTATCAGAGAGGGTAAGAAGAGGGATTGAGATTAGAGAGGAACTGCTTGTATTTTGGGGATCGAATTTTGTGTGCCTAAAAGAGAGGACTGCTTGTATTTTGGGGATCGAATTTGTGTGCCTAAAATTTTAGAGTTGAGAAAGAGTATCTTAAAGGAAGCTCATAGTAGTCCCTATGCTATTATAATTTGTTGTAGGCTATAGGCTTTTTAAACAAAAAACTTTTGTATGACAGCTTAGGTGAAAAGCTATGTAGTGAAAAAGTTATCAAGCAACCTTCTCCTTATGTGAGATTCTAATATCTTGATGTGTGTTTTCTGTTCTTTGCAAAACAGAAAGGGTAGAGGTTGACTGGAACCTTTAGAAATCTAGTAGGACACAGGTTAGATCTAGGTGTTGATATATTTCCTTGTAAAGTTGGTTTGTTTCTCACCCTTGAAAAGAGATAACATAGTGGAAGATCTCAGGATGAGTCTTGGGGAGTGGATGTAGGTGAGTTAGTGCAGAACCACTATGAATCTCTGTGTTTATCTTCTTTCATTTTCTGAAGTGTTGTTTGATTATATTCTATTTATATAACTATTAATTTTTTCAGAAATGCAAAGTTGTTACTGAGTTTCTGTTTCTAAACGTGAATAAGCTTATCTCTTTGAAACATTAGAACTCTGAATTTCTATATTGCAATTATACCAAGTTCTTATCCTTTTATATTCAGTATAAATCACAATCTGAGTTTTAACTAGTTTTCTAATCTTGCATAAGTTCTGTGGAGTAGTTCTAAATGCAATAACTATTCTTCACAGAGTCTTTCTAAGCTTGCAACAACTTTGTGAGAAAGTTCTAGAGTTGATAACTGATTCTCACAAACGCTTTCTAATTTTGCTGTAACAGAATTCTAATATTGTGTTTTGAAAGTCAAATTGTTAGAAAATCCAATTCAACTCTCTCTTGGGTTGTGCCATACGTAAACGGGACCCACATAATGTTCAACCATGTATGAGAAAAGAGAAATCACCTCAGCTCAAAAGG